TTAGTGGTGGCTCGGATGCGCATGTCAGACAGCTGGGTGCTGGGTTAGGGCTCCTTTTTCCCAGTCAGACCCCCTGAAAAAATGTCCTGTCAAAAATGAACGTGGTCAAAATTTTCATAGGGTCTAGAATTTGTGTGTTTTGGCTCAGCTATGGTTCGCCTACTTTTTCAACCATTTCCACAGCACCCTCCGAAGTTCTTCATTTGACTGCTGCATTGAGAAGCGGAGGTTGCTGTGGATCCCCGTGGGAGAGCTCAGGCTCAGATAGCTCCCGGCTCAGCTGCCAATAAGGTGCAGAATCCCCCTGCTTTGGAAATGAGCAGCTGGAGACAGGATTTGGGTACAGTCTGCCTGTGGAAAGCACTTTGCAGCTCCCGAGGATAACAGACTGATTGTTTTATTTTTGTATGGGAATCCTTTTGCAAACCTGGAGAGAAATTCACGGTAACAGGATGACTGGAAAAAAAAATAAGATCTCTGGACCCGTAACTAGAAAAATCTTCTTTGCCTGTTCTCCTGTGTTGAGCACTGAAGCTGTAAGGTCTTGCAGGGGCTTGGCAGTGCCGCTGCTGTCTGGGTGAGGTAACTGCAGAAGGGCTATGGCCAGCTCGTGGCACCCTGCCTCTGGACGTCCTTTGGCACACGGGAATTGGAAAACATGGCTCCGAGAGCAGGGTGAAGGGATCTCCTGATGTCACCTGTAGGGTGAGCAAGGAGACATTTGTTCATCGTGTACCTCCTTACAGTTCTTTTCCCTGCCGTTGGAAAATCTTATCGACATTGCTTGCTTGGGGCCAGGCATTTCCATGAGAAACAACTTTCTGGTGAAGGACGTCTTTAATGCAGGGTGTCCCAAAGGCAATAAATATATATCAGTTACTTTAATTTTGTCTTTCTGTGGCTAGTTATCTTTCTGCCGAACAATGTCAAGGCTTTATCTATTTGTTTGTGCTTTTATCTGGTTTATCAGAGAGCTGCACTGTGGCTTCTTCTGGGCTTGCCATCTCGTCTTTTGGGAACATCCTCACTGCGGTATTATGAACCGCGTTGTTATATCCATGCGTGGCACTTTGTTAACCAGCTCATCTCTGTAGGTAAAAGTGCTGTGGTGATGCTAAACGCAGGAACAGGGAAACTGCTCAGAGGAGAGTTTTATTGAGGATACTTTTATAGTCCTGGCTTCAAGTTTAACGAGGCTGTGGCAGGAGAAGGTTTCAGATTCATCTATTAGAGTTCGGTGCCTCAACTTCATGCTTCTCCCATTCATGTTTTCTAACCCTTTTTGTATCTTCCCAAAGATACTGAGGTGCTCGTCACACACTAAAGGGCACGCTGCGGGTGTGAGCCGTGAGGTACGTGGTGCTGTGCAGGAGGGGTATGTCTTCAAGTATGCTGAAGACAAACATTATGGCCAGGTCTAAAATGAAGGCTGGTGTCTGAACCACTGCTGCTGGTGACCTTAGGGCTGCAAGAGGCGCAAGCCATCAGCATCGAGCATTACGCTGTGCTAAGCTGCATTCAGCTAAACCTAAAAGAGTTGCTTCTGGGGCTGATTCCGTGGTCAAAATGTGTTTCTTTAGCAAGAGTGTATTATGTCTTGGCTTCTCCAGATCAACGTAGCACTGCTGCGTTAATAAATCCTTAAAATAACGCGGAAACCTGGAAGACTTAAGGTATTACTTTGGCTCAGCTTATTCGTGTGTTTTTCAAGTTGGAATGGGAAATCCAGATAAACTGGTTTGGGTTTTGGGGCATTTAGTGAGTGTTGCAGTGCATTTCTGACTCTACGGGATTTATTTTTTTTTAAGAGGAACACTTTTTGCTTCTCTGAGCTACGCAAATATTTTTACAGACCTTACAAACTTTTAAAATGTTTGTTTTTACAGAATGTGAACTTCTGGCCCAGTACGAAATGGTAGGAGTTACCGAGCTTTTTTTTTTTTTCTTTTCTTTTTGTCAAGAGAAAGTCACGAAGAGCAATATAGCTGTGCCCCAGTAATTAATGCTGCCTTCCAGATATTTCACACAGCTGTTTCTCGTTAAGCCTGCGGTGAAAGCTGTGCGCTCGGGCACATGGCAAAGTCCATTCCCCCGCTCCCTGCCCCGAGCACTTCTCCACCTTCTGGCTCCCCGGCAGGCCGGGAGCTGCGCTGACGGCTCCTGAAGCTGTTCCCAAATCTGATCTGGGCCTAGTGGCACAGGGGGAGCTGTGTGTTGGATTTGGCATTCTGGGGTGAAACAAAACGTTTCAACCACCTTTTTATCACTGCAGTTTCGGTGTTCCCTGGAAGTGCTATTAGTGTTATTGGTATTTTGTTTTTTCTTGCATAAAATGGCAGCAGGCACGCAACTCCGAAGAGACCATTTCATCTTCTTTACAGTGCAGCGTTTGTGTTCATGTGGCTTCAGTTTTTTATAAAAAAAAAAAACAATGGGCTTACTAGAAACTCCTATGTCTGCCTGTACCTACAGAAAGATCAGATGGAATAATGACAAAGCTTGACAAAGGGGTTGCAGCAGTTACCCAGAAGGATTCATTTTCTGGTATTCTTCCTGTTGGGATTGCTCCCGTCCTGTCTTTTGGAGGAGCAGAAATTAAACAAGAAGTCTTCTACTTGGACTGCATAAAATGTCTCACCCCAGTCTAAAAAGTCAAATCAGCAGCAGCCTCCCTCTGACTCTCCAGGGCTGCTTCCACTCCAAAACCTACCATTGTTTCAAACATTTATTCTGCTAGCTGGAGAGGTGAGGCTGTGTAACAGTGCATCTTCACGCAGGAGAACCAGTAACCCTCCCTGACAGCAGGTGGGCGAATGAAGCTCATATACCCACCCTGCCCACCCGAATTGCCCCGCTGAGCCACAAAAACCACCTTGTCGTGCAGAGCAGGCCCGCAGGGGCTGCAGGCTCTCGGCAGCGAGCCCGGGCTGATGCAAGGCTGTGGCTGAGTGCTTCCGAGGGGACGGAGCATCGCTGTCATTTCCTCCCTCTGGGCTTTTATCGTGGTCAGATCTCTGCATTGCATCTTCAAATCTAATTCCTTTTATATTATTAGCATTAACGCTAATTCCAAAAATAATTTCTGGGATGAAAACGGAGGAATGAATAAGTTGCAATCCCGGCGGTTTGGAAACGCCGCCAGCCTCCCTGCAGCTGAGTCACATCCTTCGCTCTGACACCTGACGGGGCCGCAGCCAGCACCCGCTTGCAACACCCTGCTGCTGCTTTCGTTAGCTGTGGCACTTCTTTGGCAGCACTGCCCTTTCTCTTTTCCTGCCCCGGGAAGGTGAGAAGCTGTTCCTCAGCTATTCCTCGTTTCGGCTGCCTGTGTTGCAGTGAGCTTGCTTCCTGCTATGGGAGTACTGCTGATCCTAAAAATGCCTGTTTGGTGTGTGTGGATGAAAGCACAGCTTTGTGCAAAGGAATTGTGTTTATCTGGGAGGGCTTCTAGGTGTTAGGAGGATTTGGGGCTCCAGTATGGGCTGGAAGTAGTGGCTGTCCAGAACAGAGGGAAAGCTGGGGAGTTTGGGAAACCCAGTTGTGCTCTACTGTTACTGAAATATTTGTTTTTTAGGAGAAAGCAGGTTGAATCGTGCTGCTTGTACAAGCTATCTCGATGGACCGGAGCTGCGGGGAACAGGCTTGTTTTTCCTTTGAGGGCAGGGGGATAAAGGGGTGGACCACTTGTAAAGCTGCAAGCACTCAGAGTGCCTGCTGCAGTTGCTGTGTGCACCTCTTCCCCTTTTCAGGAGATGTTTTAAGTAATCAAAGTTAGGTTTTTCAGTGGAAGATGTTCTGAAATGGTTGGAATAGAGCAGTACCTCCTGCGAGGTTTAGGACAACGTGCCCATGGCTTCCTTTCCCTCCGCTCATTCCCCAGCAAAATGGAAGCTCTGGCACAGCCGTTCGACTGCTTTTGAGCCTCAAATACCTGAGGCATGTAGAAGATGCTTGGTGTTTTTTTTCTGGGGTATTCAGTGTAGTTTCTTGTATTCTCAGGCCTGTGTAGCTGATGGTTGGAAAACCTGGACTTGGAGCTCCGTGGTCACAGACACATGTCAGAGCAAGGCAGAAATGCAATCAGTGTGCATGCAACTTCTGGCTGGCGTTCAGCTCTGCTGGCCACTGGCAGGCTTGGTGTGCCTGGTGTGCAGTGATGGGAGCAGTCAGGGAAGAAAAAGGAAGGAAGAAAGCTTATCATCACAGCTTGAAACAGGCTGCAGGCAAGGGGAAAGTCTGTCTGTGTTAATCTCAACTACCGGATTTGCCTCATGACTAGAAAAATCAGAGCAAATTTTGTTCTGATTCATAGGCACTAGCTGAAAGCTATGTGGTATCATCCTACAGATTCTCAAGAAATGGCTGGTCAGAGTTTTTTTTTAAATAACTGATTTAAATGCATCCACTTTTCATGTTCCTAATTGGTGTAACACCAACTATTGTGTCTTTGCTGTCCTCATTTACATCTGCAGTTCTTTCCAAACCACCCGCTGGATGTTGTAGTGTAACCTAATGGACACTTTTCTAAGCCTTAATCACAGCACATACAGACTCGTGCCTGTGAGCACTGACAGTCCAGCCATACAGACGTCCATGCAGCATCCCATCTCTGTTCCTGTTCTATAAACACTGAGAAATAAATCCTTATGAAAAATAACGCGAAAAGTTCCCATCTATAAGCAGTTAATGGTGCCATAAGAGGTCCTTTAAAGAATTTTGTGGGGGTTTTCTTAATTGCTTTTCTATCAAATGCATTATAGGAGAATAACTTACTGTTGCCAACTTGACAATAGCTACTTACTTTGTAATAGGCTTTTTTTTTTTTCCTGAGAAAATGGGATCAGAAAGCTAGATGTAGATGGTTTGCTACCCTTGCTGCAGGATAGCATGCTACCTCGGGCTTGCTCTGGTTTTAGACTTGAAGTAATAAGCTTCACTGTCAAGTGCTGAAATAACACCATGGACATGAAAATTTACTTTGTCTTTTTTTTTGTTCACAGTCAAATTGCAACTTCAAGCAGAAGAAAGAGGAGTGGTGTCGATCAAAGGTGTAAGTGCAAATCGCTTTCTGGCTATGAAGGAGGATGGCAGATTGCTGGCACTGGTAAGCAGCAGTGGTTAATGTATCTCTGTATCCGCATGGTGAGGTCCTCCGCTCTGTGCTGAGTAACCTCTCCTGCAGCAGGACTTGCTCAGCTACTGTGTGTGTGTCATATCAGGAGGATTTAGCTCTGCAAAACTCGTCAATTAATTGAACTATGACCGAGAAAGAGATGACTGTTTCTGCCCTCACCTACAAGCAGTGGAGCATGCTGCAGGGTTTAACTGGAATGGCACTGAGAGAGAAGAACCATAGTGACCACCTGAGGAAGGAAAGGAAATGATGAGAACAAACAAAGAATAAAGTCTCTTCCTTTGCTTCCTCCAAAGTAATTTTTTTCTCTTCCACTTAACTTTCACGTAAAGTGATGGTAGGGACTTTTGAAGTAAAGCCAATTTTTAAAACACATTGACTTTTGGTAGTAATCTATATAAATTGTTTTCTCATTTTCCTTTTTTTGTGGAGAATCAAGTTTTTTTGATCGTATACCTCCAAACTAGAGAATTGGCAAGAAAAAACATTTTTTGCAAATTATAAGTTAGTTAAAACTAGTCCAAAAAGACTAATTTTCATATCATATTAATTTTTAACTGTGTTTTAAAGCCAGTATTTGGCAGAATCTGAATGACAATAAGGTCTCCTTGGGCTGGATTTTGAATTGTACTTTAAGAGCTGCAGTTACAGTCATTGTGCTTATGAGACACAGATGCTGTAAATCTCTTGTTCATAGCTTTGAATATAAACAAACTTTAAATGCTTGTGTCCAGTGAAATATCACTCTGGAGCATCCCACTAGAATTGTAGTTTTAAATTAACCCCGATGCTTTTGCATCTGGAAGATGGCCACGTTTGTGTTCTGAGAGTCCCAGCTGACAATACAACAAACAGGTGGTAATGATAAAGCCAATTACTAACTCCAGCTACAAAAATTACCTCTCAGCTCAGGCACTCCCCAAGTGAAGTAAGTCCAAAGGCAAACAAAACATCTGAACAGCTTTGTGTGCGCTGGAGCCCTGGTGAGCTGCATGTAGTGCACTGTCTCCTGCTTCTGGAGGCAGATTGTGTTTATGCCTGGGAATACAGTTAAATAACCTGTTTCAAGTTACAGTGCTATTTACTTGGACATTGTGTGACAGCTCAGTTGAAGAAAATGTGAGTAGTGCTCCACAGAGCTATTCTTGAATGAAGGATAATTGGGAATTTCCTGTGGCACTGGTGTGCTGGCGTTTGGCTTCCTGTTCAAATCGCCCTCCTTAGCCCAAGCAGCAGTGAATGGTCAAAATAGACATGTAGCATCATTTGCAAAATTACCAACAGCCACGTGTGTTTATATTTGGATGTGCAGCCTCCTGCTGCATAGTGGTTCTTGGTTGTGCTGGTTGTGTAGAACATGCTTCTGTTGCAGCTTTATGCCGTGGTTTTTCTGCACACCTTGTGTAAGGTGACGGAGAGTCATGTCGGAGGCTTTCAGAGCCTTTCACTTGGAATTACTCTCTCAAAGTCTTGTAAAGTTACCACATTCTGCTTCTCATTTGAAATTATTTTTTTCTTCATTTCATTTGTTTGTTTTTGGAAATGGATCTGACTTGAGCCATATTTGCTGCAAACATTGCTTCCTGCAGCTCTTTGTTTTTGCTGTTTGTAGATGAAAACTCTCTACTCTAGGAAGATTTTGTTCTTCATCCAGCCTGTGTTTCACATCTACTGAATACTTCTGCAATTTCATGATTATTCTCTGAAGCACAGACAGTGTTTTCCATGAGGAATTCTGTAATATGCCTTCCAACATTTTGTGGCCAATTGTGTCTCTACTGTTTTCTGCCTGTAAACACGTTCATGGAACTGTTAATAATTGCCAGGATTTCTTTTTCAGTTTGAGGAGTGGTGTTTCAGTGAGAGCTTTGTAAGAGCGTATTCTGGAAATCTTTGTGGTGAGGTGATCTCACCAGTGTACATGAGTTTGTATCTGCAGAAATCTTTGGTTACTTCTTTTAAAACAGTATTGAACTTTCAGTTCTAAACACCTATTTAGTTCTCCATTCCAGGAGTCATTCAAGTACTGTTCTGTGCTTTTCCATCTGTAATTTTCTTTAGTGTACTTTTAGATTAAGAGAACATTTGAGAGGTACATTTGTGGAATGAAGAGTCCTAAACATTATGAAACCTTCACAAACTGCTGTGATGAAACCGCTGGTCATTTCCTCATTTATTTTTTTTAATTTTTTTCTCATCTGGTAACATTTTTAATCATCAGTACATTAACCTAAGCCGATGTTTCTTCCTCGTTCAATTTTGTGTTCACATACACTGACATGTTGCAGAGACCTTGCACAATGAACAGGACACCGATCTTTGAGGGCCTGTTATTTTGGGATGCTGTGATTAAGAATCTCTGGCATTGCAGCTGCACGCTGACTTGAACATCAGATAAAACGGATCATCTCTTGTCCCAGATACATTTGGCACCTGGATAATTGCAAGCTCTCTTATCTGTATTTGCGTGTTGCTTTGTTGTGGAAGCCAGCTTTCTGCTACGTGAAACAAACTTTTTAATGCCCAGCAATCAATTCTAATTTGGCGTGGGCCTGCTGTTCTTCTGTAAACACTTCTTAATGTCTGTCTTGTTTCTTCTTTTTATTACTTTCTGGTGTCAGGGATCAATTTGTGTAGTATCCTTGTTTTATAAACATACTGACATCTTCATAAGTACTTGAAAAATGATTATTTGGGCTTGTTTTTCTTCTAGTTGGATGGCTTTGTAATTACTTTGTCGCGATGTGTCTTCATGGTTTGTTCCTAGTTTGGTTTTGCACGGTGGTTTATTGCACAGACAGCATATCACTTCTTGCATGGTGGGCCGTGTTCTTGTCTTGAGAGCTTGATGTGGCTTTTAATTAAGCTGGTTTGTGCTGTTTGCTAACAGATTCAGTTTGTTAACGAGATTTTTAATGGAAAAAATGCACCATTTGTCTTCTGGTATGGCTACTGTATCTCATTTTGACTTGGTAGTTTCATTAAATTATTCCAATTGAAATATTTTCACTTTCCGGAATCAAACATTTTTGATTATTTCATTTTATGAAGAAACTTCTTCCTTTCATGGGAAATGGAGAATGGTGATTTTGACTGACTTGTGCATTTCACAAGTAGCTTGTTGTTAACTATGCAACCTGTCCAGTCCATCCGTGGTGTCTGTGTGGCTGAGCTGTGACCAGGCAGGCTTTGTCAGACTGAGGGACTCAAAGGGAAGTATTTCTCTTTTGATGCTAGAATGTGGCACAGGAATATTGTGAAAAAAGTGCTCATTTCCTGACCTTTTTATAGTTTTAAAGGGTCAATCTGATCACAGTGTTTCTAGGGCCACAATCCATTGGCTCTGGTAGTTCCAGGCTACCACAGCCTCCCTCTGGTTTCAGTTTAGAGAAGGAACAAGTGTGAGGAAATTTAATTCCTTATTAGCATCCAAACCACCACAACCGGTTAATGCCTGTAGTGTTTGATGCCGAGGCAGACGTAGTTTGTGCTGAAAACGAACCTGTGTGAAGGAGGGAGGGGGAATCCTGCTGCAGGAAGCGGCCTCCCCTTTGGGCGGCCACCATGGCGGCTGAGGCAGGGCGAGGAGCGCTGCTGCCGGGGAGCACTCCTGCGCCCGGGGCTGTGTTATGTGCTCCCTCGGCCTTCTTTTGGCTGGGGGCCTTGCTTGGCAGTAGACAAAATATTTACTGGCGGAAGGGGAGGCCCCGCAGTCCTCGCTGGGAGCGCTGCTGCGTGCGGCAGCCCCAGTATTTTCCGTCTGCCTGCCCCTGCCATAAAGGGCCGTACAGTTTGGGTGTTTCATGACGAGCTGTGAAACCTTGCTTTGCTGGGCTGGCATGCATTAAATATGTAAACGTGGGTATCCAGCTGCTTGCCAGTGGCCGTGTTTAACAAACAGGGTGGCTGGCATCCCCGTCCCACTGGGCAGCGGGCTGCCTGCTGCCCTGTCACCTCTGCTGAGTGCTCAGGGACCCGTGGCTCGTGAAGCACGAACCTTCATTTGTCTCCTAAATGCTGTCAAAACATTTACGGTGGCAACGTACTACAGCAAGGCACTTGTGTCACATATGCTTTGTGGAAAAACTAGGACTTCATTGGCCAGAGCGAACCACATGGCACCTTGCAAACTATCTTTATGAACCCTAGAAAATACATTTTTCTTTCTCTTTCTTCTTTTTCTCTTTCACCCTTTATGCTTCTAACATCTGTAAACTGCCTGAATGTGTGTTTGGGGAGTTGAATCTATTTTACTTTTTAAACCTGAGAAATTTTAAGGAGGTGAAATAAGCACGATGCATTTCTTTGAATTCTGGGTGTTTACTTGGAGGACCTGGTGCGCAGGGGTGTGTGTGTGTGCAAATTTGCCTTTCGTCTGCACTTGGAGTCTGCAAGTGTCTGCTTAAATTCACTGTGGTTTCCTTGCTAGTGGCAGCTGAAGCTGGGTATGACAGGGTATTTATAGGGACTCAGTCTTGGTGCTTCTGATTATTTATAGGGATTCTGGTCTCGGTGCTTCCAGAAGCACCCCTGGGTTCATGGGGCAAAAACAAGGTGCTCCCCGGCTGTGGCCCTTCTCTTTGCCTCAAGTTCCAGTTCGGGCAGCTGTACTGAGCCTGCCTGAGCACTGCTCAAAGTTTTGTTTCATTCTTAACTGCTTCTTTTTCTTACCCAGTTTCTTAGTCCTCTTAAGGCTGCTATAATCCATTTCAGACTTGGATCATTGTGGCTTGAGATGATTAATGCATCTGTTCTCACATTGGTGGAGTGAAAGGCATTAAAATATAATTTATCTTGAGAAAGATTATTTAAAGTAGCAGTCATATAATAATTATTCAATTTCTGCTACTTTAAATGTTAAAATAGTGATGTATAGACATGAGAAATTATATATATATTTCTTGTAAGTTTTTTTTCTTAGAGATCAAAATTCATATCTGAAAATGGTAGCAAGAGCTGTATTTTTTTATCGCCAAGACTTACATTTGAAGGCACGTGTTGGGAGACAGATCACTTTATTATGGACTGCATTTGAATGACTTAATTGCTCGTAGCAACAGAAACTTGGCACACGTAAGGAGTTAACTCCTGCATGTGTTCATGCATTCTCAGTGAAGCCTGGTTCTTCCCAGCTCACTTTTCAGTTCTGGTGGGATGCTTGATTTATTCTTGAATATAAACAGAAGATTGTAGCAAAAAGCAACCTGCTCGTTTTGGGAACTTCCTCACGTTTCCTATTTTCTCTCCAGGTTTTTATATGCTCTCATTTTTGCAGCTAGCTTTCCTCCTTCTCCAACCCTCCCAGAATCTTTTTCGAGGCAAATGAGTACGACTGACTTGATGGGCTGACAGATGGTTTATATGAAAAGATCATCCTCCCTCCCTCCCCCAATAAGTTACTGCAGTGTTGGGCTCCAGCAACCTTTTTATTTGAGAAAATTTTCTTGCTTAAAGTGTAGGTTCGGCAGGGAAATTTGACACTGCTTTCACTGTTAGAGCAATGTCACCCATTGATGAGGTTTTGCTGTTGTCAGTATGCTATGGGATAACTGCAGTTAAACACTGATTAAACTTCCCTGTTTTATCTTGACTGGGAACAGCCAGAAGTACTAGCCATAGCTAAACCATTACGTTTTAAGTCCCCTGGGCTGTTTTAACTATCCAAGAACACTTGTGAGTATTATCTTGCAATAGATAATACTTCTCTTAAATGATCTCACTGATACGAATGGGATCATTGATTAAGACTCTCTCCAGTATGTTCACTGTTAGGGAGCAGTGGTTTCTGCTGCGTGCAGAGATGTGCAGGTATCTCACACTGTATTTGTTAACAGGCTTGCTTTTTGAGTGGTTACGTGCAGTTGAGGGTATTCTATCAGATGGTGACCAACTGCAGAGTGGAAGAGAAGGCAAAACGTAGCAATTCCCTGTAGCAGCCTCGCAACCTCTAACCAATTTCAGTTTTGGGGCCTTCTGAGCCAGGAATGGTTTCTATGTATTTAGTGTAAGCCTCAGTGAATTCCTTTTCCATCAACTTGTTCAAAAGTCACTTGAATCCTTGTAAGCTGGGAGAAACCATAACATCATAGAGTAAGGAGCCCCACAGTGTCAACGGATAGGGCTCTTCATTTAACTGACCAAATTTTGAGACAGGAACAAAGAATTACACAATGTAAACAAACTAGAATCTGCTTTGTCTTTATTAAAGACAACAAATGAATCATAGTTTATAAACTCTTTTTGTAGGTGTTTTAAATAGTATTTTTAACAATTACTGTATCTCAATTTAGACATCAAACAATACAAATTTCTTAAAATCGGACACATTGTGAAGTTATTGTCTGGATACGTTAGTCCCATGAATCAGACCAACTGATTTGTTGCAATGAAATATCAATAATCTGTTTCTTTTTCCCTTATAGAAATGCGCAACAGAAGAATGTTTCTTTTTTGAGCGCTTGGAATCTAATAACTATAACACTTACCGATCACGGAAGTACTCAGATTGGTATGTGGCACTGAAAAGAACTGGACAGTACAAGCCTGGACCAAAAACCGGACCTGGACAGAAAGCTATCCTTTTTCTTCCAATGTCTGCTAAAAGCTGATTTCCATGGCAGATTCTGAACGTACGCCACACTACATTTTGAGGTAGAGTTTCCTGCTCCTCTCCAAGCTAGCAAAAATAGAAGCAATTATTTGCTGATACTAGCTGCTTTTGCAGAAAGGTTAAAACATGAATGTTTCGTACTGTCTTTATACTGCTCTTTAAACCTATTGTGCCAGTGTGTGTGGAGGTAATGTTACTTGGAAAATATATTTTCAGGATCAATAACACTTCTGTTTTCTGCTAGAGATTTATATAGAGCTATTTTATTTACCTTACATTCACTTTACAGAGTAAAGGGAAACTAATTTGATGCACGTGTGCAGAAATATTTACCTTTTAAAATAACTTATGTCTTTATAGCTTATTAGAGAATAAATATCGATTTTTTCATCCTAAAATCAAATGGTCCATGAATAATTTTAATATGGTCTAAATAACTCTTAAAATAAACATTCTAAATTATTAATATAACGAAATGTGAAATCTGTTGCTATCATGTCATGTTTCTGTAGGACTCGGGCAGCTCCCTGTGGTATAGTTTGTAGAACCGGCCTGTGTAAACAGCTGGAAACTCTCTCATGGTTATGTCAATCTTATCGAATCCCTCCCGGTATCCGTAAAGCAACAGCTTAGCCACGTTGCTGGTGATGGGTGTGGCGTGCTTTGTCCTGGCAAGCTCATCGAGGTCCATCCACTCGCACCTCAGGCACTCCTGCTGGCAGAAGTTGATGTTGAAGGAGGAGGGCTCCAGGCGGCAGATGATGTACATGTCCGACTTCCCAAAGGCTCCGGGGTGCTGGTGTTGCTGTCTTATGCTTAAGATGGACTTGAACTCTGACTTGATGCCAGTCTCTTCGAAAACCTCTCGAACTGCTGTGTCTCCTAGGTGAAGAGAGCATTTCTTACAATGCACACACTAATAGCTTAGCACTCTTTAAACCTTTTGATCACAGAATGTTTCTAACTTAAAGCAGCCTCCATTTTGCTTCATAAGCTTTTCAAATGTAAGGCCTGTTTGCTTCAACACAAGGACAAGCTAATTTTGTGTCCCTGAACAAAACTAATTGCATCGTGCCTTTCTTGTGTATATCCTACAAAATGATGAAAGAAAACTTTACATAATATTGTACAGGGTATGGTTTTGGAACCCATGGTCACTGGCTCCACTGATCTCTTACCCCAGGGCAGCACTGCAGCACCTTGTCAGTCCTCTCAGCCTAGCCCCGTTCCTCTCCTCACTTCTGTCCGCTTGCAGGCTCAGACCCTTTGCAGCTGAGCACCCACCTGTGTGTCAGATCACTCCATCAGCTCACATAGTGCTGTTCCACATTGCCACAGGGTGGAACGACATGGGGAAAAATACTGTTTGTAGAAGGTTAGCATCAAGTCCTTTTCAAAATGTATCTTGGTCTACTGACATTTCAAATATGCCATAATGCCTGTACAGCATGTACCATGTGTCTGCAGAAAATACGGTGCGTGTGTGTACATCTCGTGTACACCAACCAAAGTGATGAAAATGTTAACATTTCTCATTACAAGACTCGGCATAACTTCAGAGCTTTTAAGGGTCTGTGCACTGCAATTAAAGCCAAAAATTACCCAGCTATCCAGTACTCTTCAAAGGAGAAGTTCTACTCTTGAATAGTAACTTAAATTGAAGAGCCCAAAAATAAGATCAGTTATACTCCAGTTATTTCCCGAAAATTCTGCAGTTTCACTGTAGTTGTCAAATCCTACTTGCCTGGTGTAGCTACTGGTAGGTAAAATTAACTGGATTCTTTTTTTCATCTAAGTAAACTCACAGTTTTGTTGTTATGTGAGTGATAACTGCATATACAGCAGTTTTTGAAAATGACTTATTCACATCCAGTGGCTGGAAATACACATAGAAACAAAATGATTCCTCCAACACAGGCCAAACAACTGACCCTGCACGTACTTCTGCACTAGCTCAACTCTGTCTTGCAATGGAACAATCTGTATGAAGTTAACAGCAAGTACACAGGGGTCTTTGTAGCATTCGAGACCCAGTAACACATGGTGTCTGCATTTATGTGACTTCTACAGTATTAACTAAAAGGCATATGGGAGAAGATACGAATGTACTTGGGGACTGTGTTTTATGTTGCCCAGAGCGGCCCCCTCAGTCCTTTGGTGTAAAACAGCAGTTGCAAAGCAATCCCCCTGTGGCAGGTGGGTGGTTTTATTATTAGGCAAAGGGCTGTTTTAAGTATAAAGGGTCAAAGGAGGTAGGGATTTCATTTAAGCTTTGAGCTTTTCTTTTAGACAAAGTGCCTTTTGCTGTTTCCTTTTTATTTAAATGTATATATTTAAATACTTAATGACAGTTAAACTAGAAGAAACACTAGGGCTGGAATTTCAGAAATAGGCAAATGCAAAAATCTGTGCTCTTTGCTTCATCCGCATTATGAAGCGATTTAGATGACTTGTGCAAACCAGTTTGTGCTTGTTAGAGTAGGCAGCCATGTATTTTTTTGCTTTATATAACCACAGGGTTTTTCAAGCATTGTAACTGTACTTTGAAACTTAGGCCCTTGAGTGGGTGCAAGTTTATAAGATTTGATGTAAGTGATGGAAAAAGGACAATTATGCTGTTGTATTTTATGCTTCACTAACTTATCTCTTTTTGTAATTGTGAAATGTGATGCAGAGAATGATACCATTTATTATGATACTGTTAAACAGTGGCAGGAGGGGAGCTGTAAGAGCTTTGTTGCTCCCAAGTCTTTCTTACTACCTACATCCAGGCTCCATTCATAATCTCACCTGTTTCTTGAGGGATGGCCACTGGAACATGCAGTGACAGTGCTCCCCTGGTGAAACTGTTGCCCATGCTAGTTATTCTCTTCCTGCAGTACAATTCCTCTGCTATCTCCTGGCCTAGCTCCTTTCTCTGTCTCTCAAGGTGACACAGCTAGGCAACAAGTGTGGTGTTTGGGATTCTTTGAAACACGAAGCCATTCCACTGCTTTGCGTGTGTTTGCTTTGTTGGGCAAAGAATTCTGATTTCTGCCACTGTGCTTTACAAAAAGATGTAGTTGAAATGTGACTCAGAAGTTATGAAAACAACAACTCGGCCCTATCACATCAGCCAGAAACTTTTTCGATGTGTTGAAGTAATGAACAATTGTATTCCAGTTAGAGGTTTACTGCTAAGACAGCATGGAGAGATTTCTAAGGTATGGACCAGATTGAGGAGACAGGGTCTCAATACCCAGTTTGTAGAGCTGCTGCATTACTCTGGGCAATGTTTTTGAGCCATGGTTTATTTATTGGAAGAATATTTTCACATCTGAATACTGATGTGGGGCTAAATTAATGTGAGCAAATGCAACTTTTGGCAACAAGACCAACCTAGTAACTGCAGTGTAACTGCAGAGTTAACCAGTCTGCCGATCTTAATTTAAAGGGGTGTGATCCAAGGAGAAAGCACAATTTTATTTTTTCATATGCCTTTTGAACCTAACTGCAGCTGCTGTATTCAGCATCACCTGTGCTACGCAAGGTAGAAATGACAGCTTTTCTCAAATCAGCCCCGTTTTTAATAGAGAAGTGCCTTCTGCCTCCGGTTGGAAGGAGGTGCCCCCAGGAGTCAGGACCTGTACTGATGCTGGTCCTGGGCCAAAGAGCTCTTGGTCTAAACAAATAAATGGATGAGGGTGGAACTAAGCAAGTGTATTTATTGCTGTTTTGCACATAAAAATTGAACGTTGGAAATTTTTGCTCAGTATATCAATGAGCTCACTGCCCTGGATTGCAGTGTGAGCTGAGAGCTTGCTATTTCGGTTTTATTTTTTGGTTATATACAGATTATCTTAATCCTCTGTGCTTCTGGCTCTTACTACAACATACTCCACAAGCCTACAAAACAAAAGTTGGCTTCAAGCCCTCCTTTAAGAGAACTAATGGAAAAGTGTAAATGTTACAAAGCTGCTCTACCCTGAAGTCGATGCTACGCCATAACTTTAGGATCCCATCACTGCACCTATCAGCCATAATTACAAAGAAGGGAGGATGGGGGTCGCTGTATTTCAGTGCTGTTAACGTCTTTGTGACTCTGTTGATGTCTGACCTGTTATCCTAGGACTTACCGATGTCTTCACCTGGATTAGCCAGACCTCCTGGAAATTTCCATGCATTTACAGTCTGTATTGGAGGAAAAAAATGTTATTGTAGTATGCAGCCTATTTTGTTCTTCTCTAATATGAAGGAGATGATTAACACTCAAGTTTTTTGGTGAAGTTGCAGTATTATAGTTACCCTTACAAACATCAGTAAGGCTTTAGGTAGGAACTACTTTGTTCTTGCTAATGTGATGATCAGAGACACCGACGGTCTGTATGAAATATTGGAACAAAACATCTACTGATTGAAAACAAACTGTCTAACAATCATTAGACAACGTTGCTGCTAGATAACTAGATAGAGTAGTTGAATATTTAAAAAAGCTGCTATAGACTATATAATCTTGTATTTAATCACTGATGTATCCCACTTCCATGGTTTTAGCTTTTAAAAAAAGTGTATATATTTAATCCTACAAAAAGGTATTATGATTGTAGTACTGTTCTATACTGCACTGGCTTTAAGATGACTTTGTGTGTCTGTAATAACCATTTTGTATAACTTGTCATTTGTTTTTATGGAACAAAACCTGAAGCCTTGTGTGTGATTTGTGTATAGAAGCATTTATGGAATTGCAATAAAGTTCAGTAATTAAAACAGAATATGACTTGATGCTGTAATTAATACTGGACAAGAAGTCCCAGTTCCTACACCTCCTGCAAAACCTCACAGATTTGTAGATTTTACCTTGACATCTACATACTATTTTTTATTCCTTTCAATATTAACCGTGTTTGTAGCAAGAAGTTAAACTTCAACTAGAAAGTAATGCAGAAAAAAAGTACGCTATAAAAAAGTAGCTTGAACAAGCAGCAAAGAGGGGGAAGCTGCAAGCCTTCCAGTGCTTTGAAACCCCACTGATTACATTGGAATTTTTTTTTTCTGGGCACTCTTAAAGAGCTTGGATAGGAGTTTAGAGTAATTTGTTAAAAATAGGGCAGATGGAAAATACATATATTTGCTGGCTTTCAGACATGCTTTCAGTTCCTGGAAATCTTGCTGTGTATGCAGTGGAATTGTCCTTTCAAGATAAAACCCAACTAACTCTCGAAGTTCAACTAGCTCGCATTATAAAGCTGTGTATAAACTTAAAACTTCTGAAGCTTTCAGAATGTAATTTCTGTTAAGAGTCACCATTTCAGGGAAATTGGTCATGGGGGGATAGGGAGGATGGGACTGGCCCGCACTGAGATGTGTTTGCTCACTGCACAAGAAACGTATGGGTATTCGTACACCTCGGTTTTTATACTTAATTCTGTCCAGTCAATAAAAAAGAGCAGTAAGGAGGGCAGTCAGAAACACCCACTTTTCTCCTTTCAACTTGGTCACCCACTGTGCTGAGTACCAGGTGTGCTCTAGGAAGGTAAGCTGAAATAGGCTGAGATGGTTCACCTGGAACACACCCATCCCTGCCTTCAGACCGAACTGGAGGGAGGAGTGATGCCATGCTTGGCCCTGCTATGTTTTGGGGCCAGAGGCAAAGGAAGCAATTTCTGGTGAGTGTGGACTTGGACCTAGAACCTGAACAGGACATCGGATGTCTTGCTGTAAAACTGGATGGAGATACTGGCTCTTAAATGGCTGTGGGTGAGCTTTAACAAAAACTCTGTGTTAGGAAGTTGAACCCGAATGTCTGTGTTACCTCATGGGCTTAGGAAGCTGCTATTTCCTTCTAAATCTGCAGAATGTGCAATGTCCATTTTGATTCTTTGAGACCTCTTTAGTTAAGGTATTTACTGAATGCAGTTTTTTGCTTTTATGCACACAAATTATAGCAAAAAACAAATGCAGTATTTCTGAAAGCCATTGTGTGCTGTTCTCTTCAGAGAGACTCTCCAGAACTAGAACAGTTTTTGAAGCCTGTATCTTGCAAACTACATTTATGCTTAAATTGCTAATTATTGATTGAAAGCTTGAAGGTCCTGCTATATACAAGTCATTGAAATTTTACTTTACAGTAAGTAAAAACGCGAAAGTGGTAGTTTATAGGGAACAAGTGCTTCTCTTCCTCTGAACTCTTGTGTTACAAATTGAGCGATTGGACAGGCCTTTTCCTCAAAGTTCATCAACTGTGTTGTAGTTACTGAGGAACTGAAGCGTTGGTTAATTTGGTTTCTAAGAAAAATATCTCAGTAGTTATTTCAGGAAAGGCTGAAAAACCACCCAGTGAGATTCTGGTTTAGATACAACCCTATGAAATGAAAACAATTCAACCCAGTATACTTCAATTAGCATTTATCAGTGTTGTTTCCACATTGTAATAGCATTTAACCTCGTTGTACTAGAGACAATTCGTTTGTGAACATTCCTTCATTTACTTAAAGGACAGTGCAAACTAGCTGACGGAGCCAGTGAGCTTTGTGCACTTGCTGTGCCACCTTGATAGGGGCTGGAAGGTGTCAGCCGTGATGGATGCTTGCTCACCTCAAGCCACATCACAGAACCCACCGCCACCACGCTAATGCTCGCTGGTTTGGCATCCTCTGGAGTGAGGTCAAGCACTTCAGTTTGTGTAAAATGAATGAGCTTTACACCTGCCTTACAAAGGTGGTTTCCAGGTCATGGCCAACCGTGGTATTGCTTATTTAAAGCCACAGATATGCCTGGAATTTTAGAAACCAAAGAAAACCAGAATCTCACCAAATGTGCTTCAAGCCACGGGGGTTTTCCAAAGGTTTGCATGGATCCAAATGCAGGATCAGGGACTCTTGGGTCGGTTACAGCAGAAACAAGAAAACTTGAAGCAGAAAGGATATTGGGTGATGAAGCCAAGAAACGCACTGTGTTTCTTGGGCTCTGTTCTAACATATGTGGTATGGAAGAAGGGGAGCAGAGCCGAGCTGTCTTTCTTGGCAGAATGAGCTTGGACACATACAAAGGCAGTGATTTGATGCATCCTCACAGTATTCTGGGGAACTGCAAACCAAACTCTCATCATCTTCATCAATGAAATTGTTTTGAGGAACTAGGTGTTCTTCTGTATAGATTTGCTAGTGCTTTAGAACACTGAACAGTTTCATTTCCTCTAGGACAATGTGAGTAACGTGTTAATGCATGTCGCACAATGTTCTTCTGCTCTTTCTTTCTCTTAAGGAATTATTGCTCAAAACCAACTTTTCCAGAAAAAAGGTTTTTGTGTCCCTTGCAACAGTAATCCGCAACATGCAATTTCCTTGTTAACCAGAATGACAGCATTTTGAATCACAACTTTGTCACCAAACACTTTCTTTTTCCTCTGAATGGTCTCTTCTCCTCCCTTTAAATGTGCTGTGATTGTGGAGTGGAGTGGAAGGGAGGAACTTCATGTAAGGGAACTGTTTTATTCTGGGCTCTGCTTCCAAATGAAAGCTTGTGTTGAAGCTGCACCTGCATGGCCCAGTTAGCTGTCTGAAATCCACTTGACAAACTGAAGTCATTTTTGAGAAATATTTAAAAATACGCACATGGAGGAAGAGATCTGTGCTGATCAAGAAACCATATGCTGAAGTAATTTTTGTAGTATGTTTGCTTTTAAAAAACTAAGATCATTGAAACATCTCTTCTAAAACAATTTTTGAAGTCTATCATTTATTTGTGTGGGTTTTTTTGAATTTGAAATGCAAATTCAGCTATCTGTTGATGGATGTGTTACAAAAGACTGCTTCAAAGAAGTAACTTTTAACTATCACAAATATGGTCTGGAATGAAAATAAAAAAGACCTTCATTTTATATTGCAGAGCAGGCTTTTCTAAACGAACTTCTCTGTTTTATAATCCTATAGCAAACTTACCTTATTTCTGTCTTGTACAACCAACACCCTTCCAGTGTTTTCATCTAAAACAGCACCTATTAAACAGAGAAAACACTGAATAAGATTAAAGTGCTAGACGATTATGTTCAACCCTAAAATCTGTAATTTAACATGCGTTGATAAAGCTTGACAAACCCCTAACAATACTCAGATTAAAGTTAGCAAGATTTGTCTGGATGATCCATGGAAGGCAGTTGGTCAGTGGAAAACTGACTGATACACAATAAATACAAAAAAAAAAAAAAGACTAAATATCCTGTATAAAAATTCAAAGTTAGCAGTAGCAAGATAAATACTCCTCGCATTTAAGTTCAGTCCTACTGCATATGTTAATATTATCAGGACTAAAGAATGCGAGAATCAAGACATCTCCAAATAATCTCGCAAAGCTGCTTTCTTCAGCAGAGCTGTGCCTATAATCTTGCAAAACCAGAACATTTTCCAGTGGCTTTGGCCAAATAGACATGATAGGCAAGAACGTTTCTCCTGTGGAATTCATCACAAAACCCCTGCCTACTGCAATGAAGACTTGGCTGTTTTCTGGTGAATAACAAATGTTATTACTTGACTCAGTGGGCTGTGTTGATAATGAGAAGGTTCAGATAGTTGACTACCTATGAATTCATTGTGCACTGCCCATCCGACAGCTGATGACAGAAAGTGCACAGTGAGTAAGCCTGTTAATTAAAAACCATTGCTCCCAAGTAGAAAAATGCTTTCACTTGACTTAAAAAACTCTACATACCAGCGTGTATGACTGAGAAATTCAGCTTTTCACTTTGACCTCACGCTCGGCCCAAGAATTTCTCCTACCGAATATGATTTTCCGCCTTTTTAAAACCCAAGTGCTCCTATGTCTAATCATCATGTCACTCTCATTAGTCATACTTGAAAAATGCCTTCCCTTTAAAACAGGCATTTTGTCAGATTTTACAGTTGTGCGCTGTGGCGAGCAGAATGAGCAGGGTGGCAGCTGTCCACAACAGCCAGGCATGCGTTTCAAATTAGTAGGTAACGATAAAAAAATGCTTCTATCATTTCACAGCAAAAGGAAGAGCGTATGGATAGGTCTGATGATGTACACATTTAAAATGCTAGGGAGAAGTATTTCCACAGAAGGGAATTATTAAGAAATGAGTGTCCAGCTCAAAAAATCCTGGTTTTTCAATAACAAATGGCAGGCTTATGTGTAGGAGGAATATTTAAAAGATGAAATACCAGTCTTCCTTCAAGATACGCCAGAGGACGTGCTTTAAGAGGGTAGTCACTTATCTGCCTCCCCATTTGTTACTTTTTGATTTAATTCCTCCTGTAAATATTTAGCAATGCCCAGGGTTAAGTACTGTACTGATTACAAGAGGGGAGAAAGGAAAGCAGGGGCAGCTTTGATGCATGTTGTGAGTACAGGGATCATTTTCTAGAAAAGCCATTTTTCAGCCTGATGGTTTGCTGAGAGCAGGGAGGGCTGCTGAAATCACAAAGCTGCCGTTTGAGTCAAACAGAAAGCACCTTCTCTCTCCCCCTCGTTCCCTAGAAATTGATGTCCATGAATATAACTTTTGGCTGTGAAGTTCCCTGAGATCTCCAAGAACTCTGCTAGATGCTGCTTAAATTCAGAGCGAGAAGAGAAGCCACTAATGGGATTTGCTCTCTGCTCTCATCTGCCCAAGTCTAGCTCAGGAGTCCCCAGCTGAAGCTTGCTGGGCCACACGTGTTTCCCATCAGTGATATCACACTTTGGCTGTGGAATCTGACCCGTGACTTTAAAAGCTTTCATTCTTGCTACAAACGTGGTACCTAGAGCTTTAAATCATCCCTCTCCGGGCTGGCCTTCTGGAAAGGTTTGCGCCTGTAGCCTAGCCCAGCACTCGCTATTACAACACCGCTTTGTTTTGACTGTTTGCTCTTTGGAAATAGGTAAGATTCATATTTAAAAAAAAAAAAAAAAATCCCTTAGATGACTCCAGACAGTAATGGTGGGGGAAAAACATCTTCACTCTAGCTTTTTATTTACGATCGGTGTGAAAAGATGTTCCTAACTGAAGAGCGCTTGGCAGACATGGCACATAGCAGCTTGCAGTATAAACATCACCAGGCAGGAATGGGCATTGCTCTGGAAAACAGCTTCAGGCCTTCTTTTTAATCACTTGTGGTTCCTTGGACAGCTGTAACCCCATCTTCCCCCAGTCTGACATTTGTGCAGCTTGTTTTACCCTTTTCCTTAAGTAACAGGGCTGGCCAAGGCTCACTGATGGCCATGACCCTTCCCTCACCTCAACGCCAAGGACTTCCTTTCAACAGCTAGATTAAGGTAGGTAACAAGGAAAGTAATACCCATGTTGTAAGGCTTTCACTGCACAGGAGGGAAAAGGGAATAACTTTTAACTTTTCTTCCTCTCATTTTACTCTTCTTCCTCACCGTGCCACTGTTAAGGAGCATATTTACAAATGTGTCACGAAGTTGGGAAGTGCTTTTCAAAAACATCTTAATCATTTCACCCATCGGGAGCTTTTCTGTACCTTCACACATTTGGAGAACCCCGCCACCTACGAATGGCTGCAGTAACTCAGCTGGCAGACAGATCACATATTCCACTATTTCTAAACAATAATGGCCAAACCCTATGAGTAACATTTGCTACTCTCTCTTCTTGGCGACTCTGATCTCGTCTGGCAAAATAAGACCTGACCTTGCTTATTCACACCTTTGTCATCCCTTGGCTGGGTGACGACGGAAAGGCAGCAGCCCTGGATGTGCAGTGCTCACCATGCGGGGAAACTCCAGACAGTACAAAAACAGCTGCTGGTCTACTTGGCAGCGCGGGCTGGCTACCTGTCGTCTGGCTTCCTGCAGACCTCACTGCAAACCTCCCTCAAGGAGGAAACCTCCCTTTCTGTTTGCAGCATGCTCAAGGGACTGAGTACTGTACTCAACTGACTGGCCACAGCTAAGAGGTGAAGACTCATTGGTAAACTTTTTCCTCTTGATCGCAGAAACTTTCTTAAACATGGAGATTTCTGCACAAGAAATAAAAACATCGAGGCTCTGGCACATACACACAGTGTAAAGTGTGAACATATTTAAATAATTAAATATTTAAATAAAATGAGTTACAAATAGAATGAAACACTTATGCTACCCAGGCTCTGTCTCCTGAGGTAGGAAGATAATGGAATAAATACGTGCCAGACGGTATCCACGCTACCTGGTGTATCCCTGCTACATGCTCCATACCCACTGATAGTGCACGAAACAGGAAAATAACAAGTATTGTGGTCATTATTTCATGCACGGATATCTGTTTACATGACCGAATGCCTGAATGCCTTCCTGAAGTCTTCACCTCTTGGTAAAAAAATAAAATAAAATAAAACTGTACAGATTTGAAAATCAGTAGCACAGTATATAAGCTATCTGTTGTGTAATAGTTAAATCTGTGCAAAAGATATGAACTCCATATACCTCCATTTATTAAACTCTTTTCTCAAAGAGTTTTATCCTGTTTGCACAGACTGCAATCAAAGTGTTTATCTCAAAAGTACAACAGCAAATGGTGTTTTGAAAGTGCATTTTTTTTTTGGAAAGAGTATTCAGTTATGATTTTTCTTACAGTACGCCCTTCCTGATAACCATCACTTGGGCCACAACACTTGTGCTAAGATTTTCTTTCAGCACTTTCAGCTGTACACAACCTACCTCAGGAAAATCCCCTTTCAGTTATTCATACTTCCTCAAATATGCAAGAAATATAAAGACTAATGGGGTGATTTTTTCTAGGGAACTGCATTATCTTACTCGAGTTTACTGCCACATATTTTAAGGGTGAGATTTTCATACCTCAGGAAAACATGCTCTAACATGTCCATTGAAACAAGCCAAGCCCGCTGTCAGCATCTACGCTGCCCTCTGCCGGTTTTGTACTGCACAATAGTTGTGTGATTGAAGGCATTTTCTGACAGCTTGCTTTCCCCTGACCCGCTGCTGCAAAGAATAACCCAGCTCTTAGAGTCCCGTCGAGCTAGATTTTTCAAAGGGCTGCTTACAGGGCTTAAAACCACTCAGGGAAGAATTAGTGTCCCACATGGTCTGTGTAGCCAAGGCCAAACAAGCCAAGCTTGTAGAGGGCAAGATTTGCTGTGCCTCTGCTGCACCCACTGAACGCTACACAGCCTGTGCCAGGATGGCAGGGCTCAAACCAGCCTCCAGATTACAGGAGTGATGGGGCTGGTAGCTGTATCTGTGCAAGACTGCTGAGAGAGACAGCAAAAACATGCAAATCTGGTGAGGCCGAGTTCAAGCTGACTCTAGTTTTGGCTCAGTATTGTATTGTGCTGTATAAAAAATGGGAAACTGTCTTATCTTGTTCCTTGGGAGTTTCCTTCATTTTTAGAGCTGCTCCTTTCCAACTCTGCTTGTGGGAGGTCTCAATGGGTAAGAGTATGGTGTCCAGATGTTTGTGAAACCTACTTGTCACATAAATAAGGGTTATTTCAGAGCCTCTTTCGGACTGTTGCAAGTTTTGCTAACACTTGGGCTACCTCCTGGGTGATTCCTGTTGGTTCAAGTTTGCCCTCTTCACAGGCCTTTGGCAGATGCGTGTATTAAGCACCCAGTTATGGGCAGAGCCCGCCTGGTGCTGGCAGGACGCCCCATGGGACTCACCTGCGACTCCCAGCTGGTGGGTGGCGTACCCGGGCAGCCTGCTGGGCCCCTCGCCCAGCCACCGCGTTAGGGTGGCCGAGCCCGACTCGGCGTGGTGGAAGGCGAAGCCTTGCGAGGCGGCCACCGCCGCCAGCCCGCTCTGGAGGATGGGGACGTGCAGCCAGACGGCGACCCGGCCTTCCTCCTGCCACTGGGCGACCGAGGCTGAAAGAGACGCGGGGCTGCCATCAGGCGTGAGGATTTTGGGGAGCGGGCAGCCCAGCCGCGTGCTTTCTGCCTTTCTGCCACAAAATGGGTTCCCATGTGGCTGGCTGCACTCGGACCCAAGGGGTGCGACAGAGATGTTAGCACCAACAGCAGGCAAGGGAGCGCGGCCAGCTCGGCCCTTTATGTGGTGTTCACACACAGCGAGCCGCCTCGCTGCCCTCACAGCAGCCAAACAGCCCCGCGGCCATGCCCTGAACCCCCCGTCCCCCCGAGGGCTGCGCTCTCCCCGGGTCCCCTCCACTTGCCCCGCAGCCAGCGCCCGAAGGCTGCCCGCTCCCGGCGGCGGGGCCAGGGCTGGGGCTGGGACCGGGGCAGCTGTGGCAGCTCCACGCTCACCCCCCCGTACTTATCGGGCCGTCCCCGCAGCCCTGCCCAGCCGCCCACCGCCGCCCTCCGGCCCCGAGCCCCGCGCAGCGCCCGCATCAGCCCCGCGCCCGGCCCCGCCATGGCGCAGCGGGAAGCGGCCGCCCCCGGGGCGGTGCCGGCCTCTGGCTCCGGAAGGGCTGGGCTCCGGGCCGGCATGGCCGCTGCCTCCCGCCGCAGGAGCAAGGGGCGGCCGGCCCCGGGTGGCGATAATGGGGAGGGAGGCGGCGGAGCCCCGCGGGCAGGGCCGCTGGTGCTCGGCGTGGCCGGGGCGGTGGAGGCAGGTAGGGGGGGGGAGCCGGGGGCTGGCGCCCCGAGGAGCCGCCATGCGGGCAGCCACGCCGGGGCGGGCGTGGGCAGGCTGGTTGGTGCTTAAAAATGGAGAAAATAAAAAAGAAAAGGAAAAGTGGGGGGAAGGCGCCGAGCCGTGGCGTGGTGGTGCGGCTGCAGGGGGTGCGGGCGGGGGGGTGCGGAGCGGAGCGGTGCAGTGCGGTGACTTCTCCGGGGACTTGCAGGGGAAGACAAGGTGCCGAGGATGCTGCGGGCGGGCCTGGCGCAGCTGTCGCTAAGCAGCATGAAGTCGGCAGGGGCATGCATTGGCCGCCCCGTCCTGCTCAGCGCCGCCGACGGGAGGCAGGAGGTGAGTGAGCCCCCAGCTGCGCGGCCGCGGGCCTTGCACGCAGCCAGCCCCACATCCGCGCGGGTCAGCCCGCACCTCGGTCCACCAGGCGTGGACACACACAGCCAGCGGGTTCCTCCACCTTTTCCACCTCTCTTACGGTGTGAGGCCCCGTTTCCTCGCGGTACTGGCAAAAAAACCCACGCTGCTTGTCCTGCAAGTAGGTTAGAAGTTGGCTGTGTGAAGGTATACATTGCTTACACCAACACATACATCTTTATTGTGAAATATGAGCGTAGACCTTTCTCTTTTTTATTGGTTTGTGCCATTTTTGTGTCTGCTTTATAGGCAAAATACAGTCGCTTCCTTTTAGAAAGCTATCTTCAGAAAAATAATTAGAAAAGTACTTGCTAGTATCTTATCTCTCCATAGAACCACAGCCTAATCCTCCTCCTTCCTCAGCCCATGTTTTTGTTAAAAAAGCATTAACTTTAACTGGAGGACTGAAAACTGTGGGTAAATATCTCTTAATTGACAGCTGTTTGCTCTGAAACGCTTCCTAGGTCTGCACTGCTTGGCCCACCACTGGCTTTCCAGGTGGGAAGGTTGGACTGAGCGAAACCACGCAGAAGAGCCTGAAGGTAAAGCTGGGTGATGCCATCACTGTGCAGCCTGTGACCGGGGCAGTCATCCAGGCAGAAGAGGTTGATGTGAAGTTGAGGTATGGAACTTGTCACGGCACACTGATGTACCTGCCATGAGGTATCTGCTTTACACTGCGGTGTTAGAAGACACCACTTTTCTCTCTTGCTTTGGTGGAGTTAGTATGCATACAAAGTCAAATATGCCTTAATCCTTCAATCATCTGTACTGCAGTTTAAAAACTGGGTGCTGATACCTCCTCTGTGGGCTGAAGAGTGGCTCAGCTGCTGTACAAAATCTCATCTGAGTGGTAGAGATATTGTGAGGCTGTAATGCCAACAAGACCACTAGTCTCAAGAAGTTCTTCATTTTATGTTAAATTAACTAACAGTGATGTTAGCCTAGCACTTCCTGAAGTAGAGATCAGGCTTTTGGCAGGTGTGTATAACTGCGTGATCAAGGCAGATTCTTTATACTTGTAAGTCACCTGTAAAGGATGAGGATGATGCCAGGTTAGAGAGGGCCAGAAGGAACCTGTGTTGTGGCTGTTGTCGTTAGGAAGTATGCTGCTAACTGCTATCTGAAAAGCTCTTGATGACAAGTCCTGTCACAGTTAAGACAATTTACTGGCTGACAGGTTGGGAAGAGCCCTCAAAATGTCACCACTGTATGTGTGTGGCTTCTGTTTACTGGAATGTTTTTTTAGGATTGGAAACTCTCACAAATGTTTTTTGTTCTTTTTTTTTTCTCCTTGAAATTCATCAACAATAGCAGAAGATGCAAATTAAAGCTGTCTTGAAATCACAGAGGCTCTGAAATATCAGCAGTTTATTATTCTGCTGAGTGACTTCTTTGCTTTGTCGTTCTCATAACATTCCACAGATCAGCATTTGGGTCAATGCTGAATTTGGTTGCAGTTATTTCCTGACTAAAAACATTTTGTAAATACTTTTGAAAGTTATTGACACCTCTGATTTCTATAAATTAACTTCCCTTCCTTTTCAAACCTCCATTGCTGAATGTGGCGTTGTCTTTCCCCATTTTAAAGGGGAGATGCTGTTTTCCAGCAGGTGGATTCAGAAGTGTTGGTGAGGCAGCCTAGCTTTCATTGGTAATATTTAAAATTTAAGCCTAGCTTAAATTATACTTCTAGTGGTTAACATGGCTCCAGATTGTATCCTAACTCCATGTAATCAGCATGGTTTACCCTCCATGCCTCCCTTCTCACTGGAAAATGAAAGAAAGTTGCAATTTCAGCTTTTTGTTATGGCTAGTTTAGTCCTATAGGAAGCTTGATTATTTTTACTTAGTGATTGAAAACACTCAGGTCATTTTAAAAACAAACAAACAAACTAGAATAATAGCTGTGTTAAATTAAATAATAATACTAATCTACATATATATGTTGCCATATTACTATGTAAGGCAACCCTTCTTTAAAGCTGTGACTTTTACCGAAATATACGAGCTGGCAGCATATATAAGCACAATATAAGAAGGACATAAAACTGTCAGAGAGTGCCCAAAGGAGGGCTACAAAGGTGGTGAAGGGCCTGGATGGGAAGGTGTGTGAGGAGGAGCTGAGGTCCCTTGGTTTGTTCAACCCAGAGCAGAGCAGGCTGAGGGGAGGCCTCATGGCGGCCTGCAGCTCCCTCACAAGGGGAGCGAAGGGGCAGGCGCTGAGCTCTGCTCTCCGGGGACAGCGACAGGACCCGAGGGAACGGCATGGAGCTGGGACAGGGGAGGGTCAGGCTGGGGTTTAGAGAAAGGGTCTGCACCCAGAGGGTGCTTGGGCACTGGGACAGGATCCCCAGGGCAGTGGTCATGGCACTGAGCCTGGTAGAGTTCAAGAAGCCTTTGGGCAACTCTCTCAGGCATAGGGTTTGTTTTTTTGGGTGGTCCTTTGTGGAGCCAGGAGTTGGATTCAATGGTCCCTGAGGGTCCCTTCCAGCTCAGGATGTTCTATGATTCTGTGATAAGCTACAGATGAAGTCAGAGGAATTCTATGTAACTTCTGAAATAGTTATGGTTACTGTGTACATTTTTTGGAAACTGTTTCAAAAGATGACACCAAGCTAGGTGCGTGTGTCGATCTGATCTGCTCGAGGGTAGGAAGGCTCTGCAGGAGGATCTGGATAGGCTGCACCGATGGGCTGAGGTCAACTGTATGAAGTTCAACAAGGCCAAGTGCCGGGTCCTGCACCTGGGGCGCAATAACCCCAAGCAGAACTACAGGCTGGGAGAGGAATGGTTGGAGAGCTGCCAGGCAGAGAAGGACCTGGGAGTGATGGTGGACAGTCGGCTGAATATGAGCCAGCAGTGTGCTCAGGTGGCCAAGAAGGCCAACGGCATCCTGGCTTGTATCAGAAACACTGTGACCAGCAGGGCTAGGGAGGTGATCGTCCCCCTGTACTCGGCTCTGGTGAGGCCGCACCTCGAGTGCTGTGTTCAGTTTTGGGCCCCTCGCTACAAGAAGGACATCGAGGTGCTTGAGCGGGTCCAAAGAAGGGCGACGAAGCTGGTGAGGGGCCTGGAGAGCAAGTCCTATGAGGAGCGGCTGAAGGAGCTGGGCTTGTTCAGCCTAGAGAAGAGGAGGCTCAGGGGTGACCTTATTGCTCTGTATAAGTACATTAAAGGAGGCTGTAGCGAGGTGGGGGTTGGCCTGTTCTCCCATGTGCCTGGTGACAGGACGAGGGGGAATGGGCTAAAGTTACGCCAGGGGAGTTTTAGGTTGGATGTTAGGAAGAATTTCTTTACAGAAAGGGTTGTTAGGCACTGGAACGGGCTGCCCAGGGAAGTGGTGGAGTCACCATCCCTGGAGGTCTTTAAAAGATGTTTAGATGTAGAGCTTAGGGATATGGTTTAGTGGGGACTGTTAGTGTTAGGTTAGAGGTTGGACTCGATGATCTTGAGGTCTCTTCCAACCTAGAAATTCTGTGAAATTCTGTGAAAAACAGAGTTTTCCTTTCAGGCAGGATTTTGTGTCAAGAGTCGGGCTCCTGGAATTGTTATATGTAGTGTACCTCCAGGTTAAAAGTCATATAAATGACTATATCTAGGAGAAAAAAGCCAAGGAGAGAAAACATTGAAACAGGAAATTGTCTGCTAATTTACCTGAAACTATTGTAGTAAATTATAGTGAATTAATTGTCCTAAGTTAATAGTAAATCAACAAACTTCCTATCAGATAAGAACATTAATTATTAAAAGAATAAATGGAAATACCATTATTAAATACCTAATTTTCTAGACACTTCACAGGTGTAATTTATTCTCTGAAAATTAGTATCTCTGGAGATTTGCTTGCATGCATAATTTAGCTATATTTTCCAAATCAGTAATCAACACCCAACCTCAGACCTTAACAATGTAATTGAGTGTGTGTTTATTTGCCAGGAATGGCTGTGTTTTTATTGAGAGCTCTCCTGTAAATTAGCATAATATCCTGCTTTCCCTCAAATCATCAAAGTTGAGAAATTAATGTTTATTTCTAGGTTTAGAGCTCCCTCTCTTGATCATAATCTTATTTGCAGCTGCTCTAAATGCCTTTGATGATGCTGTTCACCTCTCTGTGTAATGCTTTTCATGACACGTATCAAAGAGCTTACGGAGGCTGGGGACACCCATCTGCAGAATGGGCCTTGTGAAACCTTCATTTTCTTGTGAAAACAGAAGGGCTGATGTGTGAGGGGCTTACAGGTTGGCTGAGTGGGATAAATGCTAATCGATTATAAAGATGGTTTAATGGCTTTAATAAAAGGTAAAGCTGATGATGAAACAGGATAAAGATTGTATGGACAAACTGTCATGAAAAAGAGATTGAATCACCACCATGTGTGATGTTGCAGCCTAACTGAGGAGCAGGGAGAGTTAATGACATCTGTGCTCTTCGTGAGTCATGTATGTGATGTAAAATGTGTCAACATAAACACCAGTGAAAGCAATTCATGAGAGGCAGCTTTTACTTTTCATTTGCTTTGGATTAAGAGTACAAGTGCTCAGCCATGTGTTAAATCCCAGCGATGAGTCTGTGTTTCAGAAAATGCTGTATGCCTGGCCAGGGCTGGCTTGGGAAGGGGCTTAAGATCTCCTGAGTCACTTAAGCTTCATTAAATAGAAGACTAGAAAATGCATTGTGGAGAAAACTAGTGTAGTATTAACAGTGGATGTGCAGCGTTTAAAAGACATGCACAGTATTACAAATATTCAAGGTGCCAGTTTAATCAGTAGATGATACGTATGTGTGTTTGCGGGGGTGAAAGAGACCTTTCTGGTCTGTAAACGTAGCAGTGGCCATTCTGTGCAGTGAGATGAGAAGCCTGTATTCTGTATTAGTAAATATAGCTAACTGTATTGTTTATTACAGCATTTTATATGGGGAAAAAATGAAACAAGTTAAATATATACATTTCTTCTTTAGCTGTGTGACTTTGTTATGAGCCAGAGACTAAATAGTATCATGAAAAGTAGGTGGTATTTTATCAGTCAGTGATACTGACTTTAATTTTGCTTTTGTAATAGTTATTGATTGAAAATTTATTTTTTTCCTTTTTCTTCCAATCACAGGGACAAAGATGCCTGCATTAAAGCTGAGGAAATGTCTGTCTGTCTGCTGAGAAACCTAGGTATAAATTTTGTTGCATTTCGTTTGACTGTTTAAATTTGTAGTGTAAGGTCAGGTTTTGTCTGCTCACACTTCTCTCAGGGATCTGTTGTCTTTTGACCAAATCATTTCACTATGCTATAAATATCTAACTTGCCTTAATCCTGTTTGTTTATTCAATGTACCTATTGCAGTTTCCAGTTAGTTGTTCAGCTATTGTTGTTGGCCTTCTGGCTGATACTGCGGTGCACTTCAGAATTTACTTGTTTTGTGAAGAACAAGAGTACAATGTTATGCATTAAAAACAACATAAAGCATAAGTATTAGCACAAAATCCCATACTCTGAATCTTTTCTACATTGGTAGTAAATAACCAAAATTGCTCTTCGTTGTGTGCTAGATATGTGTAAGGAAAAAAAATAAAACAAGGTAAGTTTTGTTTTATTTCATGGTTTTGTTACTGAGAGATGTAGTTTTTCTTCTCAATGGTAATCTCCTGGTTCAGGAATGAATAACACTGTTGGCAAACTAAGAAACAGTAAACATGAACTGGAACATGAACTCCAAATTCATGAGTTTGGCTGTAAATAATAGATGTTATGTACGTTTTTGCTTTTGGTGTCTTTTTTTTTTCCTGCCTGTAGGTTGCCTTGAGTAGATCCCATTTCCAAATCTGTCTATGTCAACACAAAGGCTAAAACCTTCCCCTTTTTAGGGCAAGACTAGGGCTAACCATGCAATATTGTGAACCTATGAGGCACACAGCAAATATAAAATTTTTACTTCTTACAGCACTAATTCCCTAATCTCACTTTATATGAAGTTCAAAAAACTCCGAGTAATGATGAGCTTAGTAGAGAGTTTATATATGATTACAAATGTTTATCCAGTGCAGTCTGCTTGTGTATGGAGGGATCATTTAAATTACCTGAAATTACCATTAAATTACCTAACTACCTTCTGTTGGGTTAATTTATAGTAATAAGGCTTACTGAGAAGGAAGTGTTCTGATGTCTTAAAGTTATTGCTGCCAAAATAGATTGACATTTCTTTTTTTTTTTTATCATAGATGGAAAAGTAGTTTTACCAGGTAACCTCCTGGCTTTCTCTTTCTATGGCAAACTTTGTAACATCGTGGTGATGAGGGTGAAAGGAACTGACGGTGCAGAGCTGACCGCCCTGGCCACCTCCAGCGAAACGCAGGAGCCAGACCTGGAGAAATCTGACCTGGAGGCGAGCACGCTGGATTTGTCCTTGCAGCTCAGCGGGCTGGATCTGGATGATAACCCTGAGGCTGCAGCTGTGAGCACACCAAGCAAACAGATGGACCCAGCCTCACCAGTTCCCCCCAGCTCTGCCCTGGCAGCTGTCGGGCACGGCTCTGCTGAGGGAGCCCCAACCTGCAGCCCTGGGCTCGGTGCAGACCTGCCCCATGGCTCGCAGCCGGCCGGGGTGGAAGGCAGGGAGGGACTCCTGCTGCCCGGCAAGGCGGGAGCAGCAAGCAGCACAGACAGTTTTTATTACATTTCTTCGAGAACTAGAATCCAGTTTGTTGAAACCAGGACCGGCGCAGCAGACGATGGTGACTGTGAATCCCGCGTTACCTATGATATGATAGGAGGTTTAAGCAGCCAGCTCAGAACTATTAGAGAAACAGTTGAACTGCCCATGAAGCAAGCTGAACTGTTCAAGAGTTACGGTATGATGCCTAAGAGTTGGCTTTCTTCATTTGATACTATTTTTTTTTCCTTTAACGTGACTTCTTTTTTAACCAAGTTATCCTTCCAGAAATACGCCCTGGATTTTATGTAACGCTACTTCGGTACACTTGTGTGTCCAAACAATGTCAAACTGTTTAATAGTTTAAACTGTATGGATGTAATGGAGATGTAATTATTAGCTTTGTGAATATGCTTTCAGTAGGAAAGAAATATGTATCTCCAGGAAAACTCAGGTATGCATCAGCAGAATTTATAGCAAACAGCAGAGTTTTATACTTGGACATTTGGAAGGTGCACGTGTTTCTTGTGACTTCATAAGACTTTTTTTTTGGCAGAGTCAACTGATGACATATTTTTCAAGTTGATAAAAATAAGGACAGATTAATTCTTCTGCTGTCTTTATCCCTGTCTGTTGTAGGGTTCCTGTAAAATATTAAGGAAGTATTCGAGTCTGTTAACCCAAACTGCTCGCTGTGTTTAGTATGGAATTACAGGGTTGAAAAATTAACGTGATTACTGCTGCCATATTTTAAATTATATCTAACATATATATGCACTGAGAGGACTTTTGTGACAAAGATAAAACTGTACTGTGTATTTATTACAAACGGATATGCACATAAAGCAGGCACGTCTGCTCACTGTACTTGTCTCGGTGTGCATTGCTGTGAGACAGGGCTCTTGCCTATAAATATTTCTTTCGTATCGTGGCTTTGAGGCTTTTTATTTCTCTGCCTCCACTCTTCCGACACACACCCGTTAAAGAGGAGGTGATGGCCGTGACCACGGAGACCACGTCTGTAAGGCACGGGTGGTTCTTTCAGTGTGCGTGGTGTGGGCATGGCCCGGGGGTGTCAGTGGGGTGGTGCGAGGAGACTTCAGCCCCGCGTGGTCCAGCTCCACTTTGACCTCCAGCCCACTGTGTGTTTCTGTGCTGGCAGACACCTTGATTCAGCATTAGCATTCTTCACCCTGTGTCCTAAAATGGCTTGATCAGATTTTCTGCTAATAACCTGGGAGAAGGTGATGCTTCCCTGCCAGCTAAGCTTTTGGGAGCCATCCATGTGCCGTGAGCCCTTGCCTGCCTGCGGATGAGGCAGCGAGGATGTCACCGGAGGCAAGACCTTTGGTTCAGCAGCTCCATTTCTTGCCAGCACCAGACACACCACACGAGGGAGCAGCACATGCTGTAATGGGCTGTTAGGAAGTAACCTGTCTGTACAGACACTTTATTGCTAGCCTCTATCGGTTAGCAGATACTGTTGTCCTTTCAAGTACATTAGTTCTTAAGATTCAGGCTTCCTGTCCTCCCCAGGTGACTTACCCCGTCACCACTGTCATGTAGCGTGTCCTTCAAGCATCACTCAATTACAGCACCCAGCTGATGTTTCTTTCTCTGGTTGTGCTTCAGCACTGCCTTCCATGGCAGGGTCAATACTTTGTCCCCGGTTTGTCTCCTCTTTTTGCTTTTTATTTTTTCACTTTCTGCTTTTGGCTTTGTGCCCTTTTAATTTGCCTCTTCTGGTTTGAAATGCTTTTTCCAGCTGTTGAGCTGGGATCATAATCTTACTTTTCTGCAGTTATCTGTAGTTTCTGTCCAGTTGTAACAATATCCAGGAATGCCTGGTTCTTCCACTGCCCTTTGTGTTCTGTGCATGAATGTTTCTGTCTGTTTTGGTGCTCAACGTTTGCTTGTAAAGAGACAAACTCATCCTTTTAATGAGTGGATGTGTATTTTTCATCTTTTTTCCAAGTATTTAAGGTGTAGCTATGTCCTTAAATCAAGCCTCAGTATTTCTGAAACTTCTGGACTGTTGGAAAAAAGGGGTTTTCTGTTGGAAATTTGTAATAACGGCACTGTGTGTAACAGTCACAAGTAACTTTATTAAGTACATTTAGGAAGATTTCGTGCTTAGTCCAATAATTTTTCAGGAAAACAAAAAAAAAAAGCACAAAGCATGGGGAAAACAGTTTAAATGGCTGCATTTTAAACAAAATCATTTGGACTTCAAAAGTATAAAACCTAGATGTGTGTCCCATCTGAGCATCACAACTGTTTTGTGCAGAGGGCTGTTCCCCCTGAAGGTATACCATTTAATCACAAGGGTAAGAATAATGTTGGCTAGGGAAGTTAGTGCTGAGTTCAAGTTCTAATCAGTAATAACAACGGGGCAGTGTAATGTGCAAATGCAGCTTGTTCAGTCAGGCATTTATCACAAGTAACTTTCTTCTCTGTTTGTGTGCATGTGCTTGTCCAAAGGAATCCCTCCTCCTAGAGGAGTGCTCTTGTATGGCCCTCCAGGTACTGGGAAGACGATGATTGCCAAAGCCATTGCAAATGAGGTTGGAGCTCACGTAACTGTTATTAACGGGCCTGAAATAATAAGCAAGTAAGTTCACCCAATTTATTTTCATTAATTCTACAAATATATTAGGCCTAAATCTGTGCTGGCATCTACCTGTTGGCGATCCATCATCCTCTCTGTAGATCTGGCTCTGGGCTGTCTGTCCAAGAGTCAAAAACAAATGGGAAAAAGGGTTCTCTCAAGCAGAGGTTGTGTTTGTTTTTGCAATCAAAGAGTTTCATTGGATTTGGCTTAGAAATTTGGGTAAGGCATGGACTAAATTAAAAAGAGGGCTAAAACTGCATTCACAGTTATGTGGTAAGTTATTTCTGCAACAAGAGGAGTGACTCGTTAAAGCGTGTTTGAAATTCAAAGGCGACAATGCACAGATTGATGACTCCAGCAAACTATTTTTGTTTCTTTAAAAATACAGATACAGAATCAGAAGATACAAGCTTTTCCCTTATTTATTTATTATTTTTTTTTACTACCTGGAAAATAGTTAGATCTTTGCCTGAACCCAATTTTACCTTAATTTTTGTCCCTGTGGAAATGAAGATTCTTGTAGATTTGTATGTGCTTCATAAATGTGCTGGAGACTTTGAAAGGGTGTGCTGTGGCTTTTTGGAACAGACGAGCAGTAATTTTCCAAGTTGCCTGGAAAATACCAATTAAAAAAAAAAAAGTTTCTTAATAAAATATTTTAATTATTGTAGGTTTTATGGAGAATCTGAAGCAAGATTACGTCAGATATTTGCCGAAGCTTCTCTACGGTATGTTCTTTTCGCTAATTGTATTCACGCTCACTTATTTGCGGTGCTGGTTCCAGCATTCATGTTAACGTTGGTGTTTTTAAAAGAAAAACATTTGCAAGAATCTTTGAATTGTAATTTTTTCCTGCAGCGGTTTTTAAAAGGAAATAAATGTATTTATATAGTGCTTAACTGAAAGGAAAGCAGTGAAATTCTAGCATGCCTGTTAAATGCTTTTGGACACTGCCCTGGTTCAGGGACTGTTGCAGATGGTGCCGGATTGCTCGCTCTGTATCATTAGTGCATTGTGCACTTATTTCAGCAGATGGAAGCATGAGCCAGAGTTTCACCCGGATCCAAATTTTCCTGTCTAGTTTTATTTTTGGAGAGCGGAGCAGTGCTGAGCTGAGACATGGTAGCTGGCTCTAAATGAGCGAGTGTTGGTTCTGGGTATAGCGTGCCTCTGACTCAGGGCGGCGGTCTGCCCAAAATTATTAGACCTGATCAAGGCAGCCTTCAGACTTCCAGATGGTGGTTGTTCACAATGCATTAGCAAAATGCTATCACATTTGTGGAGATGGCAAACAAAATGCTGACCTTTTACTTATGAAAACAGTATTTTTAGTGTTGAGTCTTTGGGAGTGGGGCATAGGAAAGTGGGCTGGTCAGTGTTAAGGTGTTAGCTGTCTAATTTCTTACCTGTTGTACTTATCTCTTAGAGTAGTGCCATGTTCAAGGCTGAAACTTTCAGTTGCCTAAGGGAGTGGAACACTTGTTAATTTTCATTGGACCTGGATGTTTCCCTTAAACTGTTTTGCATGTCTCTGTCTTGATGTTTTAAATCCTCCTGAGCTACTGAAATTTTTTGTTTGTTTTGTTTTGTTTTTCCCAGTCGCCCCTCCATTATATTTATAGATGAGTTGGATGCACTCTGTCCAAAGAGAGAAGGGGCTCAGAATGAAGTTGAAAAGAGAGTTGTTGCTTCCTTGCTGACATTAATGGATGGCATTGGCTCGGTAAGTAGTCTTACTGAGACAATTAATGCGTATGGGGACTAACTGAGCAAAATAATTTTGCTTTTATAGTGCAGCCAATTTTAGATGCATCATCCAGGGAAAAGAAAATAGCCTTAGGTGAAACTTCATATAGTAATCTAATGGTTTTTTAGATGCTAAGCATAGGAAGGGAATGTTGCCTGATAACTGTGAAATTACAAAAAAAAAAAAAAAAAAAAAGTAGATTTTCTTACATTCACTATCTTTCATTTGCCTTCTCCAACTTCTGTAGTTTTAGAGATAAAGCTGAAATTTTAGTGATAGCCTATCATTGAACTAAGCCAGGGACTTTGATTGCTCTGAAATCAGAGAAGTTAAGGTACTTCTGATGATAGGCGGTCTGCATTACTGAAGGAAATGATTTTACAATTGCCATAGTAAAACCTAGGATATACACAAAAGCCTACTGAAGAAACAGTTGATTTAATTGACATTAGTGCATTATGAATTAAGGCCATAAAGTTTGCCGATCTCTCATCTATTATTTTCTGATTATTAGCACAAAGGATTAAAGAACTCTGTCCATGGCATGAAAAAGCGGTCTCTGCTGTTTATTTAATCTGCAAATTTCTTGCTGTTTTCCTGCACACTTATTTTTGCTGACCAGTGTGGGATTGTTCACAGTCAGAAAATATTTTCTGATGGCCAAGACTGGTGGGCGTTCTCCATGGAGAAGTACTTCATTCTCAAAACCAGACTGGCACTGCAAGCCACCCACCTGCTTTTGCCTCACTTTAACAGTGAAAAAGCAGAGCTTGAGGAAATTGGTTAGGATTTTTGACCTTGCTTTTCCTGCTGAGCCTACAGGAGGTTCTAAAACCTGCTGTCTCTGATGGTTTTTATACCTTTAATGATTTGCTTCCTAGCCTTGCTTGTTCAAGGCCTGTTGATACCTTTCTGATCTTGTGCCAGCACTGCCTTTTTGCTTAAAAGCTTCATTTTTTTTTATTTTTTATTTTTTCTTCAGTGCTTACTGTTCTGATATAGGAAAGCAAGTTCTTGGAAATTAGTGTGATACAATGGGATGAGGGCATCTTAGGGTAAAGCTTCTCTTGTGTTATTTGTATGTACCTAAAACCTAAGGTAGTGCTAGATTGTAGACATAAGTTGGGTGGGATCACTTGTGGGTTGTATATTGGGAAATGTTTGCTTCGTTCGTTGAGATCTATCATCAAGGTTTAATGTGCATGGTACTAGCGAAAAGTAAGCAAGAAATATGCTCATAAGCTACATGACTATTAATTTAGTTTAATTATTTTGTGTTATTTGATGTGTTCAGGAGGGCAGCGAAGGGCAGCTTGTGGTACTTGGGGCCACCAATCGTCCCCATGCTCTGGATGCGGCACTGCGCAGACCCGGCCGTTTTGATAAAGAAATAGAAATTGGCATTCCTAATGCCCAGGACCGTCTGGACATACTTCAAAAGATTCTGAAGAAAGTTCCCCATTCGCTCACAGCTGCAGAGCTGGTGCAACTGGCTGATAGCACGCATGGCTACGTGGGTGCAGACTTAGCAGCCTTGTGCAAGGAAGCAGGTAAGGGTCTGTGTATTTTATTCAGAATCTTACTTCATTGTTAGTCTTTTTCTTTTGTTTAAAAAAAAATCCACAGTCTACTGGTATCTTTTAAAGGGATGAGACCTGATAATTTTTGTGTTGAAGGAAACGTTGAAGGAAACATAGCCAAGCATAGAGCATGAAGAAAACCAGCTGCTCCTGGGCAGACCAGGAAAACACTTCTGAGTATTCATCAATTTTAAAAATAAATGTTAATAATAGGAATTCCCATGTGCCATCCCTAGCACACCGGATAGCTAGCTGTGTCTTAGTTTAGTGAATGTTTAACGAGTTAACTGACTGACCCCTAAAAGTTTTTCTGCTCGGACTCCAGTATTCCCCTTCTGTATGAAAGTCCCAGGCGTCTCAGGCTGGACAGCTTGTTCTGCAGGTCCTGATCACCAGGTTGCAGAAGCGATGAGCCTGCGTGGTTGCTTCTGTATTTTGTGTCATTTACCTACAGACAAGGAGCTTGTGAGCGGCGTTGTGGGACCGCGAGCGCTGGGTGAGGTTGGGCAGTGGAGCTGGGGCGTGCAGCCTGTGCTGGGGGCTGGAAAGCCTCCCGTGGCCTCCAGTGCAGGCACAGCTCTGGAGAGTTGTCCACGCATCACGCAGCAAGGGTTCGCTATGTTCCAGGCAACACTTAAGCACAAGTTCTCTTCTGTTTTCATTGGATGAAACACTAAAAGTGCGCTCTATCAATTCTTACATTTTGCTAGAGTGCGTCGGCGTGGTTTAAGTGACCTTAAATCTGCCCATGAGGAGCTGCTTAAAGCAGTCTAGTCAAAATATGACTCTTCAGTTCTGCTTACGCATATTTGCTCCCTTGTAGTTGGCAAATATGTATTTGCTGTATGTGCTGGTTACTTTTATTTCCTTTGGCACCCAGACAGCTTCCTCTGGCAGTGGCACAATGCTCAGTTAATTCTTGCATCAGAATTAACTATTAAGCTGATGGAAGTTTTATTAGGGCTGATGGCACCTGGAACGGCAAGGCTTTTGCTTGCCAGTTTACAGAATTTTTAAGGGATAGTCCTCAAATATGAATTTTTGGCTTTCTGTATGGATCAAGAGGAAAAAAATTGTATGGACTGAGAGCATTATTTTTATAGCATTCTTCTGCTGCTTAGGGTTGTGTTTTAAGATACCTCTGCTTTAAGGTACCAAACATCCTTTTAAAAACAAATGTATACAAACAACAACAGAGCAGACTCCTTTTTGTTTTCCTCCCTCTGCTTTTGGGAGTCTGTCAGTCCGCCTGTGTCACAGTCCTGACATAGCAAACCCTTAGCTCATGTAATGTAAAAATGTGAGTGAAAAAATTGTGGCTTGAATTCCAAACACAATCCAGCCTAGGTGCTGCTTGTGCATGCACATGTTGATTCTGGACACTTCATATGGGCTGCAAATAGGTGATATTTACCCACTTCATGAGGGCTTTTTAGACAATAAATTCTGAATGTTGTGTAAATTGAATGTTATGTCTTTTCTCAACTCTGTATAGATCCAAAAGCTCTGGCATATACTGGTGCAGGACACGCTGTCATTTAGGAGCTTTGCATCAGTGCTTGGAACAAGGGAACAAGGACGTCTCCTTTTTATTAGTCTTTCCTGAAGTCAGTCTGTGCTGCTACATTTCCTTGTCATTTGCTAACTTGGAGTGACCTCTGCTGGGGAGAACACAGTCCAGCTGCTTTAATTCTTTGCAGCCGACGTGTATTTTTTCCTTTTCAAAAAACTGCATAAGCATGATTTGGAAGCATTACACATGCTGAATTTAAATTGCTTTGTGGTTAAGGAATGTTCTTAGTAGATTTTTTTCTTCCCCATTTAAGCTCTCGAAATCTATTTTTTTTATATTAAATTTTCAACACCTTGTAAAATATTACTACTTTCACTGGAGTTAAACTTAGGAAAGACTAGCTTTTATGAAGCAATATTTCTCCTTAGCAGTGCAGGGTTATTCCATATGGCAAGTTTTCCAGTGTTTTGTCTAGTCTTGTTTGTTGTTGTGAGCAATGGGCTTCTATTGCTTCACTAACTGTGCCGTGGGCCAAAATGGCTTGCTGTCCAGGAATGTTCTCTGATACTCATCCTAAGTTTTCCTTGTTTACTTTTATCCCATTATTTCTATTTGCATCCTTGTATAACACATCCAGTCCCCCTCCGTAGTGTTTACACCCTTACGATATCTGTGGGCTGTTCCCATGTCCCCTACCTCCTCATTCATTACTTCGCCTAACTATAAATATTTAGCTCGTTTAATCTTTCCTCATAAATAAGTCCTTCCTGCCTTCTGAGAACTTCTGTTGATTTTCTCTGAACTCCCTCCAGTTTGTCAATAACCTTTTGGTAATGTGGTGCTCACAATTGAATGTAATATTCGTGTATATTAAAATATAAAACCTGAGATAAACATATAGTTAGGACTGCTGATGCGTGCTTCTGAGTAGCCAAGATGTTTAACGTTCAGGCAGTATCTGAGTTGGGTACCTTCACAAGTTTTCAAGTTAAATGTAACTTTCACTCACGATGTGCATGTAAGTACAGGTAAAACATGGAAATTAATTTAGAAGCATGAATTCTGAGCTCAGAAATACCCGTTCAGTGTTTAGCACAAGATTATTTTGCTTGCCAGTTGTATTGTAGCGTGGGTCTTTGGGAGACTCCATAGTCCCAGTTATCCCATTTGCATCTTTAGTTACTTTCTTTGGGACTGGAAAGCCTGAAAGTTTACAAGCTAAATATGTTTATATTCTTAATACAAAGTTTAGATAACTTTTAAAGGACTCCTCCTTCCTTATCTTTATACTTCAACTCTGTTTTTTTTATACTCAATATTATATATATTGTGTATATACTGCTTATATAAACCAAGGCTGTAGAAATTAATATGACATGGTAAATGGGAGTAATTGTAGGGCTCCGGCAGCCAAAACTTTCACTTTGGCGTCAATAGTTAGGTTTCCTAAGATACTTCGTTATAAAAGCTTTTGTTTGTCTTCTATACAATTCTGAAGAACATGGATTAATGAAAAGTAAATAGCTCTTGTGGCGTTAACCATATTCCAACTGTTTTCTTGGCAGGACTCGTTTTTTCTTCCATGGAAGGAGTGCTTAGCGATACTTCTGGGGTCAGACAGGCCAGTTGTCTGTTCTGTTCAGCAGCTCAGTGCATTTTCATGGAAGTGATTAAGGAGTTTAAGGAGCTTTTAAAGTTCAGCTTGCGCTGAATGCTTCTCAGCTCCTGCGTGTATGGTGTGTACAGAACTGCAGTGCCGTCTGTGCTAGAATGGGCAACGGGAGGAAAGGAGGTCAAGAAACCTGAGAATCAGCGCATTGTGCACTGGCTTTTTCCAAACAGGTTACTGTGACCAGGCAGCTGTGAAATACTGAAGTACAGATGGTCATAAGCATCGGTTAAGCACTGTTTTGATTATTTCAAATATTTGCGGATTTTTCTTTCAATACCTTCTTTGCTGCTACAGCAGATAGAGTTCTAGCATTTTATAAAATGAAATGACAAAATTACATGAGTGTATGAAAAAATTGTGAAGAATTATGAAGCTTATGGTATTGCTGCAAGAGCTGACACCAGGGTGACAGCATCAGCTATGTAGGTGTATCCCCACCCAAGGTGTTGCACAAGGTATATGTGTCTCTGTCTCACATGTTAAGGAAGATACTGTTTGTTGGATTGACAAATAACTGAGCAGTTATGATTAGCCTGTCAAAGCTAAAAGCAAAAAAAAGATATTTCTAACATGGCAGGTATCGCTGGTTTTGATGAAAGACTTTTCAGAATTAATATGCCTCGTCTGTGTTCAAGGTTACATTATCTATAATGACTACCATGGAGAAATTGTGATTTGTTGAGTTTCTCTACTGCCTGGCAATTTGCTTGTGATTTCCACCATTAGCTGCACGTTGCTTCCTCCTGTAACCTTTCAGAAAGGTTAACAGCGTAATATGGAAAACCTGCAAATCCCTTCTCAGATGCTGGACCATATCCTGTGGACATCAGCATGTGATGAGTTGACTCTCGAGGGCTTGAGTGCCCTCTGAGGGATTCACATGCACAGAATTCTTGCCAAGAAAAGGGCTTGCGTATATGTGCAGCTGGGAGAGTCATGTTCTCAAGGCTGGAAGAGGTTTCCCATGTCCTAAATTGGTTAGCGGGCTACCTTTTAGTGTGAACAGCTGCATTCTGAATTGTTCTATCTCAAGCAGAGGCAGTATTCAGGAGGTAGACTCTGCCCTATCCTTGCATGTAATGTCAGTGTTTGTATGCCCGTGAGAGCTCACTGCTTCTGCTTTAATTAATTGGCCACACAGCCTTTTATTCATTCCCTAAAAAATTATAATGGTTTTAATTCAACAACAAAGATAAGCACTCCACTTTTTTGGAAAAACATATGAAATGTTAATTATGTAGCAGGGACATGAATGGTATAAACTGTACTGAATGTTAGAAGATGCTTAGCAACAAAGGTTTCCAAATATAGCAATTTATTATAAACTTATCCTTCTATGGCTGCCTGTAGCATTTCAAGACAGTGAATATAAATATAGCTTGATTTCTTCAAGAAGTGGGTTCAGTCGTATTGTTTACAGAGAGAGGAAGTATTTGCTTTGTAACTCTTAGAATTTATCTTGAACATCCTTGTTCACTACACATAATTTCAGTGTGCTGATATAAAACACTTGGACCGTGATAAGATAGCATCATGAGGAGAGGAAGAACAAATGTCTTTGTTTAAATTGTGGTCGCTCTTGCAATAACATCGATTTGGTTCCAGTAAGGATGCTGCTCTGCGACCAGTGTAACTTCCAGACTTCTGTGAAAGCAGCAGTCATCCTTCTGCTTTGCCTCAAAGCTTTGCAAGCTGCCTGATTGCAATACAGGTGAAGGCATCACCTTGCTTTGCCTTCAGGATTATAATGCTTCATTTACACAAGCTGGCTGTTATCAAAAATAT